AAAATGTTTAAAAATTTTTAAAAATATAAAAAAGAGTGAGAAATGGCAAGTGGCGGCAGAAGACGGTGGTGGAAAGTGGTGACGGTGGATGGGTGGGTGACGGTGGCGGGTGATGGGTGGTAGCGAGTGGGTAGTAGTGGTGGTATTAGTAGGTGGTGGTAGGTGGGTGGTGAGTGGTGGTGGCAGGTGGTGGTGGGGAATGGGTGGTGGGTGGTGGTGGTGGAAGACGGTGGTGGAAAATGGTGGCGGGTGGTGGCTAGGGTTAGGTGGTAAAAGAAAAAAAACTGAAAACTCAAAATGAAAACACATTTTTTGTGTTTTCATTTTTTAGCTAAATTTATAAACTGAGACCACTGATTTATAAATCAAAAATTTTACCAAACAAGTTTTTACTTGAGTTTTTAAAATTTTTATAAATATAAACAAAAAACTAAAAACGTAAGTGTTACCAAACGGTACCTTAACTTTCACAATTTGATTTACAACTCAACTTTGACAAAACAACCATCCTGATGTGCAGTCCGTACGTCACGTGAGGGATTCACCGAGCTGCTGCCAACGGCGGGAACATTGGTTATGTAGGGGCAATTTGGTAATTTAATAACAAAACATCATAACAAACACTCTCTCCAATACAATCATTTAAAAATATTCTCATTCATCTTCCCAAACACAAAAATTAAAATAACCTATTAAAATAGCTCAATAGCCAAAAAAACTTACTAAAATAATCACTTCCCAAACGAGGCCAATATATAAGGTTTATATGTACTCAAAACTAATTAATCTTGGTGAGGTATATAGTACTTATCAGATTTTACAAATCTAATGGTGATCACTTCTGAAACCAAGCTTAAAAGACCTAGAGAGCAATGAGAAATGAAAACCAACTTGAGGTGTCGTTTGGGAAGTGGATTAGTTTTTTGATTTTTTAGTTTTTTTAACATGAGGCTAAAAAACTTGATTTGGAAAGAATTTTTTGATTTTTTAACTTTTTGATGAAATGTCCACATGTTAAACGACTGAACTGCCCTTGGTAATACTTTTTCCACTCCTAGCCGGCTCCTTCCTCCATGTCAATGTTATTGTATTTTTTTTTTTTTTTTGTTGGGGGGGGGTTTTGTTGAGGTGTTTTAAATTGGATTTTTTTTTTAATTTATCTTTTTGTCATTTTTTTTGTATACATTAATTTGTTTTTATTTTTCAAAATTGATTTTTCATGTGTTTATTTATTTTTAAATTACGTGACAAATGCTAATTTCTATTTAATTTTTTTTTGAATGAGGTGTATTTTTGTGGTTCTTTTTTTTTTAAAATTTTCATTTTTGTCATTTTTATTTTTATTTGTATACATTAATTTGTTTTTATTTTTCAAAAATGATTTGTATACATTAATTTGTTTTTATTTTTCAAAAATGATTTTTCATGTGTTTTATTTATTTTTAAATTACGTGGCAAATGCTAATTTCTATTTTTATTTATTTATTTTTGGATGAGGCATATTTTTGTGGTTTTTTTTTTAATTTATGTTTTTGTCATTTTTATTTTTATTTGTATACATTAATTTGTTTTTATTTTTCAAAAATGGTTTTTCATGTGTTTTATTTATTTTTAAATTACGTGGCAAATGCTAATTTTTGTTTTTAAATTTTTTTTCTTTTTTTTCGGATGAGGCGTATTTTTGTAGTTCTTTTTTTTAAATTTAGGTTTTTGTCATTTTTATTTTTATGGGGTTTTTTTTAAGGTCCTTCGTATTAAGATTTTATAGCATATAGGACATCTAATATTTTTATAATGTCTAAGGTCCCTTAAGTTGATTCAGAGAAAATTAGTCCAGAGAAATTCTCTGAGTTGAAAATGTTGAGAATAGATTGATGATAATTTTGGGAAGGAAATGATCATGAAGGGCAAAGCTTGTGATTCAACATCATGGGGTGGTTTGGATTGGAGATGCAACATGACATAGAGGTTGACGATGGAAATAAGATAAATGACAAATTCTATGTTGAAAAATCTTATACCAGGGACCAATCCAGAAAAATTTTCAATCCAAATCAGAGAATTTCTCTGGACCAACCCAGAGAAATTTCAATTCAAACCAGAGAATTTCTCTGGACTAACTCAGTGAAATTTCAGTTCAAAGTAGAGGCCTAATCAAAACGTTAATGTTAAACTATATAGTAGATGAACTTAGCAGAGGAACAAATACAGTCCTCAGATGCACTTCTGGAGATGAGTTACTATTGGTGAAGTTTGAACGAAAACAACCTTTGCATAATAACTAAAGGATTAAAACCTTAAAATAGTACAAAATCTGTTAAATAAATTCATCCACTTATAAGAAGCAAATTACCAATTGTAACTTTTCAAAGTTACCTTGATTGTCATCAGGCCTAAATACATGATCAAACTTGAATTGCTTTCTCAAAGAATCAGAGAAAATAATCTGCAACTCATTTTCCTGAGATGAATCAAAATCAACTACAGTAGTAGACCCATTTGCAATTTCATCTTGGCTTAATGGTCTGCACCTGCAGAAGACCCTGATATTCCCTTTAAGCTCAATCACTTTATTATAGAGTTGCTTCCGTTTAGAGCACTCTTCAAGGTACTTCTTCTTCACAAGTTCACACTCTTCGTGATGTTTGCGACTGGATTTCTCTCCCGGCGATCTTTGAGAACCTTCTCGGCCTTCTTCAGCGCGTCGCTGGGACTCGATGTGCCTTGGCTGAAAACAATGGCGTCCACGATGTGACGGGCCGTTAGCCGGCCGTTCGTCGTCATTCTCCTCAGCTGCAACAGCCTTTTCGAGCTCGCAGCGAACGTTATAATGGAGAGCCGATCGGAGGAGGAGAGAGACGATACCACCAATCAGAGGAAGTGCTGCTCTGTAATAGTAGAGAATGAGAGATAAAAGAGTCAAATTTCTCTGATATATGTTTAGGGACCTTAGACATCAAAAAAATAATTTTGTGAATCTTTCCAATTGCGAAAAGTGGGAGAGGGACCGTAGATTAATTTTCCTTATTTTTATTTGTATACATTAATTTGTTTTTATTTTTCAAAAGTGATTTTTCATGTGTTTTATTTATTTTTACATTCCGTGGCAAATGCTAATTTCTGTTTTTAATTTTTTTTTTGGATGAGGCGGATTTTTGTGGTTCTTTTTTTTTTAATTTATGTTTTTGTCATTTTTATTTTTATTTGTATACATTAATTTGTTTTTATTTTTCAAAAATGGTTTTTCATGTGTTTTATTTATTTTTAAATTACGTGGCAAATGTTAATTTCTGTTTTTATTTTTATTTTTTTTGGATGAGGTGTATTTTTGTGGTTCGTTTTTTTTAATTTACGTTTTTGTCATTTTTATTTTATTTGTATACATTAATTTTTTTTTATTTTTAAAAAATGATTTTTTATGTGTTTTATTTATTTTTAAATTACGTGACAACTGCTAATTTCTGTTTTTAATTTTTTCTTTTTTTTTTACTTTCTTTTTTTTTTTGGGAAAAGGTTTTTTTTTTAAGTTTGTGTGTGGTGAGGCGATGCCTCTTTCAATAGGTTTATGTGAGGGTAATTTGGTAAATTTATCAAAGCATGAGTTGTTGCCAAGCACCTGACAAGCTTTTATCTCCATTTGGCTAATTTAACTTTTTTTTGTCTCGTAGTGGCTAAAATAGCCCACACTTCTCTTGCCAAACGGAGGGTGACTAACTTCACTAGCCTTCTCTCCCATTGTAAGCAAATCAAGAATACCCTCTATGATGACTGAAACTTTAATCTTGGTATCATTATCTCCATTTCTTAACCAAGTTCTCACAAAACAAGCTTACTTTCTCTGAGGGGATTGTTTGTGAAGAAAACAACAATGGGGGATCACATAATTCTCTTTCATTCCTCATCTCCTCAAGGAACCATTTATCCTTTCAAAGACACCAAATGGCAGGGCAATGAGATCATTGATTCACAGTTCCAAGTTTCAATCTTCTTGATATTAAAATTAACAGTGTCATTAACTATTCAAATACTATGGCTGGGACACACTGCATAGTTTCTAAGGCTGAAAGATCTCTGTATTTGGAGCAACAATTGTCCCAATTCACCTTCCTTTCAAAATAATCTCCTTTGAGACTTCAATCTCTGTTTATTAGCTGAGAAACTAATATCTCTGGCATTGCATTTGGTTGTAAATTATAAACACCACCTCCATAGTGATTAACAAACATGCTACTACTAATTGAATGGAAGCTCATAGGCATACATATATTGTCACTTTGCCCCTTTCCAGCATGAAACGAATGTCACAGATGACAATTCAAGATGTCGTCATTTAACTTGAACTGAGTGCCTGCTCAATGAACATCAATCCAAAAAACTTCCTTTTCAACAAATACTCAAACTAACCAATGCCTATGTACATGTGGAAAAAATAAAAGATTGCAGTAAACATGGTTGCTGAGCAGCAGTTGCAGCTGCCTTCAGAGACATCAGCTTTTACGGTCATCATCATCATCATAGTCAACCTCAGAAAGGAATGGGTCCTTGAGAAGAACAGAGGCTGAGGGTCTATCCCTTGGCTGGCCAATGCACTTCTCAATGAAGGCCTTCAATTCTTGATCACTGACTTTGTTCAAGGCTTAAGGCTTCACTTCGACTGTCACATTCTTGTATATCTTGGCTATACTGTCACACTCACTATATGGTATCTCCATGGTAGCCATTTCGAGCATGCACATTCCAAATGAGTATATGTCCACTAACTCTGTGTAATCCTCCTCGTACAGTTCTGGTGCCATATACTCGGGCGTCCCTATTAACGAATGAGCATGATGGCTCCTCCCTACTATTGTTGCCAAGCCCAGATCACCAATCTTGACCTACAGATAAGATGTCATTTAGTTCCTGACATCATAGAAAGTAAGTAAATGAACAGCACTAGCCTCAACTGGAAAATTGTGTCCTAGTATCAGTTCACTTCCCATTTGTTTTAATACCAATTAGTTCTGGGAAGCATCTTGCTATTGCAAATAAATTTCTGCAAACTCCAATTAGTTGTCCTGAAGGGGTGGGAAATAAAACTAAAACCATGGAAATACATACATATATATATATATATATATATTCAAAGGGTGGCCTTATTCCCACTGCCCTTTTCACCAAAGACGCCTCATCTCATATTTTGTAACTTTTGCACAAAAGACAAAATTGTCCTTAACAGATGAAAGAAAAGAAGTGTAAAGGTTTGGAGGAGGGGGCAGTTTAGGTAGTTAACAAAAGTGTAAAGGGTTTTATTGTCATTTGCCTAATAAAAACAAAAAAGGAGTGCCATTGTCTAGCTGGTTAAAAGGGCAGATATTTCCTAAATTTTGTTAGCAATCGGAGGTTTGATAAGATGAAAAGGGCATGTACATACCTTTCCGATGTTTCCGTTGATGAAAATGTTACTGCAATTAAGATCTCTATGAATGACGCAAGGATCATGGGTATGGAGATAATCCAAGCCCTTAAGTATCTGTCTTGACCACTTCTTCATGGCCTTCATTGACACATGGCGATGCTTCTTCCTGTAATCTCTCAGATTCCCTGAAGTGCATGCTTCAGTGATGAAATTCAATGTGTTGCGCTCATTGTCCTTCCAAAAACTGTAGAGAACAATAATGTAATCATTCTTCAACGACTTCAGCAATGCAATCTCCGACTGAAGCCTCTTGATGACAGAAGGATCATCACTGAACTTCCCTAACCGAACCTGATTCCATGCAACATCTCTTCCTTCACGCTGATCAAATCCCCTATAAACCTTCTTGACGGCACCAGCACCAAGCAGATCGCTGTACCGGCCAAACCGTCCAGATGGATCAACTTCAACAAATGGTTCTTTGTCTTGATCGGATGAATCAGGAGTTTGAGGTGACATCTCTGAATGTCATTCAGAAAAAAAATAGGAGCAAACAAAAGCCACCAGACAAAACACATTAAAGGAAAAGAAATACAATTTCTGATGATCTACCACAATCTCAAATCAGATCGTAATTAAAGAATAATAATCCCAGGTTGAATTGGTAATCACATGAAATTTGAAATTAGGGCTTGAATTAACAAATATTCAATTTATATATGCAAATTCCACAAAGAGGCATATTTTTAAAGCTGAAATAACCGATAAGTTGATCAAATCAGCAGAATCATTGCTCAAACTAAAGTTTAGTAGTGGTTCATAGAGTCCTATGGATTGAGTAAAAATAAACTCCAAGAAATAATACCAACACAAAGCAATATTTTTCAGTGGCATTGCTGCAGATTTAAGCTAATCAAACAGACTACAGCTGTGGTCATTGGTTATTCAAAAGAAATAGGTTTCAGCGACCCAATTGACGATCCAACTGAACAATGTACAATCAACAATCAAAAACACCAAACTGAACTAAAAAGATGTAAGTCAAACATAGCAACTCAGAATCTACTATTACAAATAATTTAACCACCCAATACCGACGCAGATAATCTAGTCAAAATTTGAAAAAGTGAGTTGGAATTTTTAAAAACCAAACCAATACCGACGCAGATAAAGAAATCTATGTGATCCAAAACAAAACAGAATTGTCAACTAAGACTGCTTCAGTTGACCTAAATATAATGGTTTGACCAAATTCAGATTTTTAAATCCAAACGAAATGTAAGAAATCAATGAGAAACAGGATTCTTACAGCTGATACAAACAAATTTAAGGAAAAAAAAAAAAAAGGTATCAAATTGAAGCACTTACCGCATTATTCAAAATTAGGGTTTAAACTCTGAAATTTTCAATCAGACCAAATTAGAAGGAAAAAAAAAAAACCAATATTCATGACGAGCACCGACGAGAACACAGAAAAACAACTCTCACGTCAAGATAAAACAAAATTGAAGCTCTGATGCATAGAAAAACTCGAAACTAGGGTTTCAATTATCAAAATTTCAACCGATTCAGAAGAGCGAAGAAAGATAAGAATTACCTTAAGAATACGAAGTTCGAGATTTCTCCGAAAGGAGAAGCGGAGTTAGACGTCCTTGGCAAGTGTCTTCGAATGGAGAGAGAGAGAGAGAGAGACGAGAAGAAGAAGAGAAAAGAGAAGTCAGGTTTGAAGAAGCAAACAACAGTGGCAGCGTAAAAAGGCGGGGACGGCTTAGAGGCGGTATTTATCGGACCACTGAAGTTTACTGATACTTTTATGTTTAATGAACTTCAAAATCAATTTATTTTGGAAAAATTACACATATCTCTTTGAGGTTTGTCTTAATTATAAATATTTTTTTTGTAATTTTAAAAGTCACATAATTTTTTTACTTATAAAAATAATAGTCAGATTCTCCCTTTCTGTTAAAAGAGTCTTAACAATATTAACTGGACAGTAAAATTGACATAATACCCTTCAACCACATTATGAAATCACACAACTAACATAATTGACTCTCATTCATTCTTTCTTATTGAAATTACACTTACCTCCCTAGGTTTAGCATAATTATAGGCACCTCCCTATTGTAATATTCTGAATAGTTTTTTTTCCCCAAAAAAAAAAAATAAAAGGTTAAAAAAAAAAAATAAATACTCAAGTGATCTAAACCAAAAAAAAAAAAAAAAATCTTATATGATATTTTTCTTTATAATTTTTTAAAATTTTTATTTCATTACATTAATATATAAAATAAAAATATATATAAACAGTGGTTGTATTTATTTTTATAATCATTTTATTTAATATTTTTTATTTTGTTAATGTGTTGTCTAAAAAATATCTTTAAAAATAAATAAAATCAATAGTTCAAAAATAATTTTTGTTTATGGCACAATTTTTATTTTTACAATTATTTCATTTATTACTTAATTTTAAATAATTTTGTTTAGTTAGTTGTAAAGTGTTGTCTAAAAAAATGCCTCCAAAATTAAAAAAAATTATGGCACAATTTTTATATGGGGATATATTTTTTGAGTACCAACACGTGGCAAGGTGACGTCGACGTGTCAGCCGAGGTGCCACGTGTCCTGGTCGTGACGCCGAGGTGATCTCGGTAAGGCCGAGGTTATCTCCGAAGATATCAGAATCCGAGATAAGTGGATAAGGGACAAGAGTCCTAGAATGAAAAAGGAACTCAACCTGGATGAGAGACAAGAGTCCTAGAATGGGAGGAGACTTCAATTTGGGTAAAGGTGAGACTCTTAGAGAGGTTATCCTAATCCCACTTGGAGTTTCAGATTAGCAGTAATCCTGAGTCCATTGGAGTTAGGCTCCCATTGGGACTAGGATTGAGTTGGCTATAAATAAGAGACACCCCCATGGGTCTAAGGTATGTTTTTTATGCTCAAGCTTGTGAGTTGAATAGATGATTGATTATCTTTGAGAGATATTGAGTACTGACTTGATCGTCGGAGTGTCCCCGGGTGGTCGAAACCACCGTGGGATTCTTATATTTCTGTTGCAGGTCAGTCGGGTGCCATCTATTCTGCCAGTGCTCTCCAGCTGGTTACTAAGCGGGCAGTGTGGTCGGAAAATCACCCACACAATTTGGCGCCGTCTGTGGGAAAGAAAGAAGAATAGATGGCCAATGACGGACAGAAGGATCAGATTAGAGACAATGCTCTTGCTGGGAATAGGAGATCTATCAACCTCGACGTTGAGGGGACAATAGCAACACAGAAACTCGTGACCAGAGTCACAAAGTGAAAGAAGCCGGCCAGGAAGGTGACGCACCAAAGACAACAGATCGAAGCAACGAAGATGACCTCCAAGTATGCAAGGATAGATACCTGCAGAGGAACGAAGACCCTTCCAGAAGGGATGCAAAGACAGGGGGCATGAGCGCTCCCAAGGAAATAACATTCAAGTATAGAAGAACTCATGCTGAGTGAGCAGATCCCGAATTCCAGATCCTGGATCCCGGATCCGAGAAGACATGATCTCAGCCTAGACAAGTAGGCCCGAGAAGACGAGAGCTCAACCTGAATGAGTAGATCCAAGATTCCAGAAAACAAGAGCTCGGCACTTAAACCCGAGAAGAGAAGAGCTCAGTGAGCAAATCTCAAATCCCAGAAGATAAAAAAGAAACACACAAGATCGGACTGAAGTTAGCCAAGATGAAGACCTGTTGTAAAGACCACAAATGAGTATGTGGAAACTATGCACGGGGCAGATCCCTTACCTACAGAACCATATCAAAGGGATTCTGGTGACCCTACGGACAAAAGAATGCAGAGACTTATAAAAAAACATGAGAAAAGAAATGGCTTGCCAAAGTGAGGCCGAGGTAACAATGGATCCAGCAAGCAAGAGGCATAGAGAAGAAAAATATGTTTAACACTTGTTGAAATTTGTAGCAATTTACAAGTTGAAGTTAAACCGAGATTATTCCTTATCTTCACTTGTTGAAATTTGTAGCAATTTACAAGTTGAAGTTAAACCGAGATTATTCCTTATCTTCACTTATTGAAATTTGTAGCAATTTACAAGTCGAAGTTAAGCCGATTCCTTAGCTTCATTTGTTGAAATTTGTAGCAATTTACAAGTCGAAGTTAAGCCGAGATTATTCTTTATCTTCGCTTGTTGAAATTTGTAGCAATTTACAAATCGAAGTTAAGCCGAGATTATTCCTTATCTTCGCTTGTTGAAATTTGTAGCAATTTACAAGTTGGAGTTAAGCTGATTCCTTATCTTCACTTGTTGAAATTTGTAGCAATTTACAAGTTGAAGTCAAGCTGAGATGGTTTCTTATCTTCACTTGTTGAAATTCGTAGCAATTTACAAGTTGAAGTTAAGCTGAGATTATTCCTTACCTTCACTTGTTGAAATTTATAATTTACAAGTTGAAATTAAGCCAAGATTACTGTTTCTCTTCGCTTGTTTATATTCGTAGCAATTTACGAGTTGAAGCAAAGCCGAGGTTATTGCTAAACACTTGTAGCAATCTACAGGTTGGTTAAACCAAAGAAGATGCTTAACACTTGTTGAAATTTGTAGCAATTTACAAGATAACGTTAAGCCGACATATGATCATCTGTTGAAATTTGCAGCAATTTACAGGTTGAAGAAAAAGCTAAGTATGTTGTTTAAACACTTGTTGAAATTCGTAACAATTTACAAATAGATTATTGTTTAACACTTGTTATGTTAATCCTTGTTAATCCTTGTTACAGTATATGTTAATCCTTATTGAAATTTGTAGCAATTTACAAGTAGGCTAGACCGAGATCACCGTTTAAACACTTGTTGAAACTTGAGAAAAAGTTTGTAAAGTTAACATTGAGTAGTATATGTTTCGTACTTGTTAGAATTTATGAAAAGTTTGCAGGTCAGTATTTTGCCGAAGTAAAAGTTTTGTAGCTATTATACCCGAGGTATGTAACCCCGAGAAGATTGCACAAAGGAGGCAAAATATGAAAGGCATACAAAATATTCTAAGTATAAAATTATGCAAGAGCAGTTAGAAGAAGATCAAAACAAAATTCGTCGTGATTGACATGCCTTCACCTTACAACATCATCTTGGGAAGGCCATGGTTACATTAATAGTGGGATCCACATGGTGTCACATCATTAATGGTATTTTAGTGGTGTTAAATTAGTGGTTTGAAGCATTTTTCAAGTTTTTAAATGATAAAATAGGTTATTTTAGTAAATGAAGACCTTAAAGAACTAGGGACTGAAAGCAAGAACGTCGGACTAATCTACTTCAACGGTTGACGGTGGTTCAGCATTGGCAGTCAGCTGGGAGAGCTTCTCTACCATTATCTCGGCAACAACTTTAAGAAGGGACGTGGTTCTAAGACTATACAGAAAACAGAAACGAAATCAAGAATCTGGAAAAAGACTATATAGAAAACAAGATTGAAAGCAAGAATCTGGAAAAAGACACAGAAAACAGAAACATGAATGTAATTCGTAATCAAGAATGATGATGAAGCTATCAAGAAATCAAGACAAAAAGATTGCACAAGTGTGTCAAGCCAAGAACAGTGGTAGAAATCAACAGATGTGTGAACAGTGTGTATTCAAGAAGATGATTTGAAAATAACGGGTAAAACAAGCAATGGTGATTGACAATGAAGTAGAGCTTCTTGGAAAGCAACAAGAAATAAAACTAGGAGGAACAGTGGCTTACCAGAAATAAGGAAGTCGGAATGGGAATTGCCGAAGTCTGACGATAATGACAGAATGACGTAAAGCTTCACCGGAGGAGAGAAACGAAGACAGTTGCAGAAGCTTGAAAGCTTGGAACAAATGACGGATTTAAGCAAAAGAACTAGAAAGAGAAGAAGCCAGAGGATTAAATGAAAAAAAAGAAAAATAGTCAATAAGACGACAAAGTTCAAGAATAAAGCCAAGTGCACAGGCACTAAGTAAGTATGTGAAGAACAAGAAAGTAATGAACCAGACATGATGCTAGCAACAGAATGCGGATATAACAAGGACAGTGCCAGGCATTCAAACAATTCAAAACTTGAAAACAGACGAAAATAGAAGGCAACAGATGGCAAGTAAACAAGATTCAGAAGAGTTATAAAAAGTAAAGAGTTTATGAACCTACAAAGTGAAATGAACGCCGATATAAAGATCGTCGGAGTCAAATAGATGACTGGAAGTCGGGAGCCCACCGAAGAATGTGAGTGGAGCAATTGCAAAGCTCTTAGAGTTTACGAATTAATGGAACAAGAACCTCGGCTAGGAGGTGTGATTTCAAGCAGCTTGAAAAGCATGAAACTTGATTCTTGACACCAGTGGACAGTAAAGTCCAGGGAACTTTGAGGTCGTCTACTTTTTCCTATAATCATCCTATACATTGATCAAATTTGGTTTCTTGTTTCTTTTAATAGCAAAATTTGATGGAGTTTCATTCTTTTTATTTATTTATTCATTCGTTCTTTCTAGTTTGGGTTGAATGATTCATAACATTATGCTCCATGATCTTCTGAACCATTCTGGATATAGCTTCAAAATTCACACCCTTCGCTTACACTTTTTGTGGGGATATATTTTTTGAGTACCAACACGTGGCAAGGTGACGCCGACGTGGTGGCCAAGATGCCACGTGTCCTGGTCGTTATGCCGAGGTCATCCCGGTTAGGCCGAGGTTATCTCCGAAGATATCGGAATCCGAGATAAGTGGATATGGGACAAGAGTC